TCCTATGATGCTGCTTGGCCTGCTGTGTTCATCCAGCCCTGCACCTTGTTGTCTCGGATTCTCCAGCATCTGCAGTTCCTACTATCACTTATTCTGGTCGACTGTGTTAGGTGTCAGGAGAGTTAGCAGAGGAAGGGAAGCTGGCACCACACTCCTCTGAGACGGACCTGGAGACCCTTGTGGACAGGGATATTGAGAAGTGAGCAGTATTCTTCCTGGAGCACTGGCAGAGGAGGCCATACACAACACCATGCCATCCTGGTTGGAGATTGCTGCTTGGTCAGTGTCATCTCCCAGATGAAAGCTCTGGGCAACAAATCAGCAAGAAGCTTCTCCAGTCCATTAGGGCAAGTGCAGCAACTTATGCTCTGCTGCCCCACACTTAACTGGCCATCTCCCAACCAATGCTTGTACGCTGACACCCCCTCTGTAACTTGAAACACCTTCCCTTACATTTGACACGTTTTAAGGACGGGCGCTGTTTATTTCGTACAGTGCTCATTTTAGGAGACAATGTTATTTCTGTACTGTTCATTTTGGAAGGAACTTTGTTAATTTTATACTGATCTCATTGGAGGAGGGCCAATGTTTATACTATAGTGCGCTCTTTAGGAAGGGCTACAACTTGTTCTATACCGTTCTCCTTTTAGAAGGCATTCTGTTAATTCCCCACAGTGTTCATTTAGGGTGGGGAGGTGTTAATTCTATATTTTTTCACTTCGAGAGGGCTCTGTGTGGTTCATTTTGGGAGGGAGTTCTGTAAATTCTCTACTGTTTATTTAGGGAGGGGCACAATAAACTTGAATTGTGCTCATTTAGGGAGGGGCAATATTAATTCTATACTGTGTTCATTCAGAGAGGGGCAGTGTTAATTCAATAATTAACGAGTGGATGACTACAACAAATAAGCAAATAGTTTGACAATGAGTGACAAAAACTGATGACTGCATGAAATCTTAGGAATTCCTAAGAGGAAGGAATTTAAAACATGAAGTGAGAGAGACAGAGTAATTCACCTAAATGTGAAGTGACCATTAAAACACATTTGTCTATCTAACAATAGCTTTCAGTCATCCTCGCATTCCTCGATTGTTTACTCTTCAAATGCTTATTCAGTTGTCTCTGCAATGTACTGTTCTTTTCACCTTCCTACTTCCCCCAAATGTGTACTCCTTCTGGCTAGTGCATAAATTGTAGTTTACCTAGATTCCAAGGTTAAGTCTTGACTTTGCACGGTTTATGATAAGTTAAACAAAGAGTTGAAACTTAACTTATCTTTTCAGGGACAAAGGCCTATTAAACTTTTTTGCCCCTTTATTCCTACTCACAGAATCACAGTCATCTGACATTTTGGGAAATTATGAGCATAAAGCTGATTAGTTCACCATTTACATAAGTTTACTCCATTTTCTTGAGTTATTTTTGAGATACAGACATTGGTGACAAAGATAGCATTTGTTGTCCACCTCTAACTGCCCTCTAGAAAGTAATGATGAGCTGCTTTCTTGACCCCATCTTCCATGTTGGTTGGGAAAACGTACGACTCTGTCAGAGTGTTTCATGATTTTGACCAAGTGACTGTGAAGAAATAGAAATATGTTTCCTAGCCAGGCTGGTGTGTGACATCCAGTGTTTTCAATCACCTGTGACCACCAGATTGGTGGATAAGGTTTGGCCTCGAAGAGGGAATTTACCATAGAATTGTTAGTTTGTGACATATTATGCAAATTTCCTCCTATGTCTCAAAGGTAGTCATTCAAATCTGCAGGTGTGTCCATCCCCAACCTTTACACCTTTAATCCTTTAGGTATTTTCCTTTTGCAAATCATGTCCAGCAATGCTAACTTCTTTGAAAAAGTTGTTTCTTGCCCATGACAGAACAAACCTGCACACATTCAGTAAGCCACTGCGTACACTGGACATCCAAGCTTCAGGAATGCACAGCCCCACAAGTGGTGTTGGATGCCATTTGCTTACCGGTGGACATCAAAACTCTCGCCGGAGTCTGCGTGAGTCTTCAGATTTTCCAACAGTGTGTCAGCAGCCTGGTTAATTAATGGGCACATCTGAAAGAAAAAACAACTCACACAATTATGGGAGAATATTTATTGCAGTATAACCTATACCTGTTGCGGTCATCACTAACTATCATAGGAACTAAATGTGATTTCAAATCCTCCATCATCAGGGGAATCATTCAGTTCCCCTCCAGAAACTTAATTTAAGCTGATACTTCAGCAAGGTGTGCCGTGCTGTCAGAAATGCTGTCTCTCAAATGAGGCATTGAATTGCCTTCTCTTTTAAGTGAACTTAAAAGATCCGACAGCACTCCATGAACCAAGGGTACGGCATACACTTGGTGAACTTGCTAATTTTTATCCCTCCACCAACATCACAAAAAAAAGACTGTATGACCACTAAACCATTGCTGTGATTGCCAAATTGCTGTGCAAATCTTGGCTGTCACATTTCCTACATTTCAACAGCAATTACACTTTAAAAGATCTTTATTTGGGATATTCTGGAGTTTGAAAACCTATGCACATGTACAGTCTGTGAATCATAGAGTCAAAGAATCCTACAACACGGAGACAGGCCCTTTGGCCCAAATGGGTCCACGCCGACCAAAATATCCATACATGCTAACCCCATTTCCCTGCACTTGGCCCATGTTCTTCTAAACTTTTCCTATCCATATATTTGTTCAAACGCCTTTTAAATGTTGTTAATGTACCCGCCTCAAGCATGTCCACTGGTAGTTCATTCCATATGTGTACCACCCTCTGTTAAAAAAAGTTGCTCCTCAGGTTCCCATGTATTCTTTCCCCTCTTACCTTAAACCGATGCCCTCCAGTCCTCGATTCCCTCGATTTCCCTGGGAAAAAGACTGAGTGTATTCACCCTTTCCATGCCTCTCATGATCTTATACACTTCTATAAGATCCCCCCTTACTCTCCTATGCTCTAAAGAAAAAACCCCTAGCTTGTCCAACCTCTCCCTATAACTCAGTCCCGTGAGTCCCAGGTAACATGCTTGTCAATTTCTTTTGCACTCTTTCCAGTTTAATAACATCCTTCCTATAGCAAGGTGAACAAAACTGAAAGCAATACTCCAAGTGCGGCCTCACCAACATCCTGTACAACTGCAATATAACTTCCCAACTTCTATACTCAATGCCCTGACTGATAAAGACCAGTGTGCCAAACGCCTTCTTCACTGCCCTATCTACCTGTGATTCCACTTTCAGAGAATTGTGCACCCGCACTCCAAGGTTCCTCTGTTCCACTACACTCCTTAAGGCCTTACCATTCACTATGAAACTCCTACCTGGATTTGACTTTCCAAAATGCAACACCTCACACTTATCTATATTAAATTCCATTTGCCATTTCTCGGCCCACTTCCCCAGCTGATCAAGATCCTGCTGCAATTTCTGATAACCCTCCTCACTGTCTACGATACCACCTATTTTAATGTCATCCGCAAACTTACTAATCATGCCTTGTACATTCTCATTCAAATCGCTCATATAGATAACAAACAGCAATGGGCCCAGCACCGACCCCTGAGGCACACCACTAGTCACAGGCCTCCAGTCCGACAAACATCCTTCCACTATTACTCTCTGCCATCGCGCCAATTGTGTATCCAATTTGCCAGCTCTCCCTGGATTCCATGCGATCTAACCTTCCAGAGCAGCCTACCATGTGGAACCTTATCAAAGGCCTTACTAAAATCCATGTAGACTTCATCTACGACCCTGCCCTCATCAACCTTCCTGGTCACTTCATCAAAGAACTCTAACAAATTTGTGAGGCATGATCTCCCACACACAAAGCCATGCTGACTATTCCTAATCAAACCCTGTCTTTCCAAATGTATGTCTATCTTATCCCTCAGAACCTTCTCAACTTACCTACCACAGATGTTAAGCTTACTCGTATATAAATCCCAGGATTTTCTTTGCAGCCCTTCTTGAATACAACAGTTGCTACACTCTAGTCTTCCGGGACCTCAACCGTAGCTAACGACGATGCAAATATATCAGCCAGGCACCCTGCAATTTCTTCTCTAGCCTCTTGCAAGTTTCTTGGATATATCTGATCAGGACCAGGAGATTTATCCACCTTCATACATTATAATGCTTCCAACACCTCCTCTACTGTGATATGGGCTGACCCCAAGATATCACCACTAACTTCCCCAAGTCTTCATGTCTTTCTCCACGGTAAACACAGAGGAGAAATATTCATTGTGGACCTCATCTCCTGCAGTTCCACACATACATGTCTGTCTTTGATCTTAAATTTTATTCGCTTTAGAGAAAGAATGCATTGAGCTCTGAGTTAAACTACAAGGTAGAAGATTCATGTCATCAGCTTCAACTTCAAACATCGTCTTCATTCATTACTCAACTTGATGATATAACCCCAAGCACTCCGATCATAATGTACCCAGAGAAATACAGGATTCAACTGGTGATTGGGTGCAGGAATTGCAATGCATAATTAACCTGCCTATATGTAGCACCACTATGTAAATTTTTTGTGCTGCTTGCTAGTTTAAATGATGGTGTTGGGCGTCTCAGAACTAAGCACAATGATGAGTGGCTGCATTACTCATCAGGCACACAAAAAGGAGGAGTATTTTGCCTGCAATGGGTGCTGGAAATGATGGGAGAGGAGTTTTTTAACAAGGGGAAGAGCAGAAATGGCAAGACAAGTCAGAGAGCCTGGGGCAATGAACTCCAATCCAGCACTGAAAGCCTTGTGGAAGATTTGCTATCAGAGAGATCCACCATCTATAAACGATCTAGAGGCCTCCACACAGAGGGAATGACGTACAGAATTGGTGGATGGTTATTGCCAGAGGTCTAGATCTAGTGCAGTAAAATATTCAATTATTTTTCCCGAGTGATGAAGGTCAGTAAATGCATCCTCAAAAAACATCATCCTTAAAAATGAGATAACAAGGTGTAGAGCTGGATGAACACAGCAGGCCAAGCAGCATCAGAGAAGCAGGAAGGCTGACATTTCAGGCCTAGACCCTTCTTCAGAAATGGGGGAGGGGAAGGGGGTTCTGAAATAAATAGGGAGAGAGGGGGAGGTGGATAGAAGATGGATAGAGAAGATAGGTGGAGAGGAGACACACAGGTCAAAGAGGCGGGGATGGAGCCAGTAAAGGTGAGTGCAGGTGAGGAGTTAGGGAGGAGATAGATCAGTCCAGGGAGGATGGACAGGTCAAGGGGGCGGGAAGAGGTAGTAGGTAGGAGATGGGGGTGAGGCTTGAGGTGGGAGGAGGGGATAGGTGGGAGGAAGGACAGGTTAGGGAGGCGGGGACGAGCTGGGCTGGTTTTGGGACGTGGTAGGGGGAGGGGAGATTTTGAAGCTTGTGAGGTCCACATTGATACCATTGGGCTGCAGGGTTCCCAAGCGGAATATGAGGTGCTGTTCCTGCAACCTTCGGGTGGCATCATTGTGGCACTGCAGGAGGCCCAGGATGGACATGTCATCTGAGGAATTGGAGGGGGAGATGAAATGGATCGCGACTGGGAGGTGCAGTTGTTTAGTGCGAACCGAGCGTTGGTGTTCCGCAAAGCGGTCCCCAAGCCTCTGCTTGGTTTCCCCGATGTAGAGGAGGCCACAAGGGGAACCCATCTCCTTCTCCCACCTCAAGCCCCACCCCCATCTCCTATCTACTAACCTCTTCCCGCCCCCTTGACCTGTCCATCCTCCCTGGACTGACTATCTCCTCCCTAACTCCCCACCTACACTCACCTTTACTGGCTCCATCCCCGCCTCTTTGACCTGTCTGTCTCCTCTCCACCTATCTTCTCCTCTATCCATCCTCTATCCTCCTCCCCCTCTCTCCCTATTTATTTCAGAACCCCCTTCCCCTCCCACATTTCTGAAGAAGCGTCTAGGCCCGAAATGTCAGCCTTCCTGCTCCTCGGCCTGCTGTGTTCATCCAGCTCTACACCTTGTGATCTCAGATTCTTCAGCCTCTGCAGTTCCTACCTTTGAAACATCCTTAAAAATGAAGCCATCACCTCACCCCATTCGCCTCCTAATGTTAAGAAGCACAACCCAAATGCATCATTGATAGCCTCACGTTATCCTCACTCACAGCATTGCTGCATGTCTCACACTTACCTCTCATACCTGATACACAGTGTTAGCAGTTCAACTGTGGCAGGCATATTAGCCAATCATGATCTACCACACTCACTGACACAGCTCCCTCTCTCTTGCAGGAGAACCTGGCCACAATCTGATGCAGTAGCACCCAACCATTAGAGGTCAGGCCTGGCTACATTTCCTCCCTCACTCATACAGAGTAGATGATGTTGACCATCATTGTTGTGGCCTCAAACAAGGCCATAATAAGTGGAAAAGCTGAAACTACTGCAAGTGAAATTTTGTTCCGACCTAATCCTTCTTGCATTCGATATTCCCTCATCCTACAGGCTCCTCTGTCTTACATGTTGCAAATGGTGTAGGCACGCACCATTGCTTCAGCAACCCCGCCATCCTTGCAGTGGTCTGTTTGATAATGATTCTCACGACAGCCAGACTCTCACTGTACACATGCTGACCGTGTGTAGTTGGTTAGCAAAGTGCAGCATGAGCCAGCTGCAATAGAATCACAGAATCCCTACAGGCCATGCAGCCATCAAGTTTGTACCTACTCTCCTAACAGCATCCCACCCAGAGCCAGCAGCATCCCTAATCCCCATAACCGTGCATTTCCCATGGCTAATCCACCCAACCTACACATCCCTAGACACCATGGACAATTTAGCATGGCCAATCCACCAATCTTCACATCTTTGGACGGGGGAGAAAACCAGAGCACACAGAGGAAACCCACACAAATACAGGGAGAATGTGCAAACTCCACACAGACAGTCACCCAAGGCTCGAATCGAAACTGTGTCCCTGGCACCGTGAGACAGAAGTGCTAACTACTGAGCCACCATACCACCCTAATATGATAGTGCTTATCACCGAACAATCACCTTCTGCTTTGACATGGTGGCTCATCTAATGAAGGAACAGATAAATGG